AAAAAAAAAAGACAGTTCCAGAGAGAAAAATAGTGGGAAAACAAATCCACATATATTGCTCCAATAATTTCAGGGGGGGAATGAATTGAATGCACATACTGCAGCTTTGAAATGCACTGCAGAATGTGGATTGAATACGTTTAGTTGTATTTGCAGTTAAAGGAGCTGTGTAGACAGTGCGATCAGTCAGTCCAGATACAAACGATACAAACACGCTGGTTTTACGAGGCGTGTACAAACAGCACGTGACTGTAAATTACAGCGTGGAATTAATAATTTGTCCAAACTTCCCGTTTAAAAGCCTTTGATCGAAGAGAATCAGAAGACCTTTCACCAGCGTCTCTCTCTCTGTTACATAACGCTGACTTTCAGTTTGCAGGTCGGCCCGACGCCTCCTTAAATCCGCTAAAATTCAAACAAGCTGCCGACAAACGAAAACTGTAAGATGTAGCGGAGGCCTCACACTTACTGAAGCTGGGGTTTGGTCCTGAATGAGGCTGCAGAGAGGACAAAAAGCGCTGCACGTGAAAATGTACGACCGTAAAAAAAACAGAAAAAGAAAAAAAGCAGGGCGGCGTTCTGCGCAGGATCGGTGCGCATCCCCGGAAAAACAAGTGGAACACGTGGGTTGGGTTATGGATGAGCTGTACTGCGAGGAGTTTCACGTTAATATGGACAATATTTCGGCATTTCTCTATATTTTGGTTCAACTTTTAGGAAGGTTTGTAGGATCATCTGATAAAAATAAACGACAGCAGAACAGATTAGAGATCAGTGCTGTGGCTCACTGAAGGGTTTTTATGTGGCATGTAGTCCTCCAGCACGCTACAAAAAACCTCTTAATTGATCGTCCATTTGTAGTTCCTTGTGATTGTTATAACTGTTACAGTGATTACAGTTTATTTGTGCTCTTCAGACTCACAAAGTCTTACGTATGTTGTGTGTTTCGATAGAGAGAGCTGTCCAGATGAGCGTGTATTTACCTACAAAAAGAGACCATGAGAGGTCACAGTCACAGAGCTGGACGAACTGCCCGGAAGAGGAGGCAGAAACACGAAAGCAGCGCCCGGTCAGGTAGAAACACGCTGACTGCTTGAGTTTAAAGTGTTTCAGTGCTGCATGCTGGCTCAGCTCAGACTCTCTGCCCCTCTCTCTCTCTGTCTCTCCAGTGTCTCTGTGTCACCAGCCGCAGCATGTGAAGCTCTGGAAGTTTCTTCACCACAGAGGATTTTCCTCCACACTGCTTCAGCCAGCTCTCTTCACTGGTACCACATCCTATATTGTTTTCCACATCCTCAGGAGTATCATATAACCCGAAAAGGAAAGCTGCCCATTGTTTGTTGGGTGATGTTAGGTTCATTCAGAACTTCCCACCTGACTTCATCAGGATTTTTTGTACACTAAATATATTTACTGAAGCCATGCCAGATTTTACCATCATGCTATGAATGTCTTCTGAGTTACAGCCTCTCACAATACATAGACATGAAGTACACACTCTGTATGAACTGACCTCCAAACTACTTCACATTATTGTATTCCAGAGTTTTTAAATTTTCACAATTTCCCAAGTACGGGAGCACCCTAATCAGTTTTATACTCACCCCAAGTATGACACCTAAAGCCAGAATCTTCAGCATGGTTTCATAGAGCATGACTGTGAGGAGGTTTTCTGTTGGTATCTTCTTGGGCCAATCAGAGACATTACCTACACTGACAGTTTGTGCGTTAAATCATGATATTCACATGTACATTTGGTTCATACAGACACAGGCAGAGGACTGCAGACTCTCAGAACCATCAAGGTAATCCAGATTCCCTAAATGCCACATTTTTATCAACATATATTATGAACTTTTTGCATCTTCAGGAAGAAAAAAAAAATCAAAAATGTTATTTTATTCTGAAAATCACAATGTGGAATAAACATAGCAAGTCGCTGACAGGCTGAAGTTGTTATGAAAGTGTTATAATGTTAAAAATAAATGATTTAATGGTTTATTAAAATTACTTTTTTTACTTTGATCATATTTTGTTAAACTCAACATCCACTTGTTCACCTTCTTTGTGACCACGTGCCTGATATTTGCAGTAATTCTGAATTCTAACTGAAACACGAGCATACATTTAAAACCATCACAAAGCACACGCTGACATATGCACAAAATGTTATTTTAATATTAAGTTTTATATTATTCATAAAGAAATAACTGTATATTGTTTATATAGCTTTCTTATAGGTTTTGTGCTCGATCTGTTAGGCAGTTAATGATTAATTTATGTGTGTTTTGCCTTTTAATTTATAAGAAAGAATTAAGTTAAACTGCTGCTTCATAAAAAAATACAAATATGATTAGTGAGGTAATTTGTGTAGTCACCATTTTTTTAAACATTTGAATTGGTTACTGTTTGGAATTAGTTACAGGATCAAGTGTAGATCCTGTAGTGACGTTTGAATGTTAAAGCTTTATCTGTTGGTGTTTGTGTGGCAGCCCGGTCAGCTGATTATTTCTCTGCCGGAGTCGTGCCTCCTCACAACCTCCACCGTTCTGCACAGCTACCTGGGACGGTACATCAAGAGGTAAACACAGAATGTAAACATATTCCAATATTTCCATCCTCTATACGGCATGCAGGATTTAATCTATGTATTAGGGGTGCAACATACACAAAATTAACAGTTCGGTTCGATACTTTGGTGTCACGATTCGATATTTTTTCGATACAAAAAATGTTCATGCTTTTTTAATTTGTCATTTATTAAAATTATAAATATATATTTTAACTCAAATGTACAGTTTTTAAATTTAATGTTGCTGAAACAACAAAGGGATAAGAGAAATCACTCATCTTTGGAAAAGAGAGTTTATTACAGAGAAATGGCTCTTTCCAAAATAAAAGCTGTACTATACGCTTCTTCTGGGCTATATTCTCAGGAGCATATTAAACATATCAGGTCCCCATAAGGAGAATCACGTGCTAACGGCTGTCTAAATGACTCGGGTAGTGCTTGTTGTTTTTGTCTGCTTCCACTTGTCGTTGCACTAGGATGATGTCAGCGTAAATGTGCAGTCATATTCGTTGTGTTCCCACTAGTGCTGTCAGCTTTAATCTGAAATGACGTTAATGCCACAACACGGCAAATCTCCGTTAACGAGTTACCGCGGATCGCCCGTGCGTGGGGCTGGACGGCCAACACGTTAACGAGCTAACTGCGCTAACACACTAGTTCCCACCAATGTAATTGAGCATTGCGTGGCACATCCAACATACTGTTTTACTTTAGTCCATGACACGCTTACCTTCAGGGTCATACTTCACATGAAGATCAAAATAGTTCCAAACGCCAGATCTGAATGAGGGTGGGGGAGGTTCAATTTGCCATGTTGCAAGGAGAGCTTAGCTTCTGTCTCGCTAGCTTGCGCTGTGCTCAGTGGATCTGCGCTCGACAGTGCAGCCTAGGCGGAGTAGTCGAACGCAGATCCACTGAGCTCTCAACACAGACAGCATCGTCAGAAGGAAAGTTGATAAAATAAATTCAAAATTTTGTATTGTTCGATACATATGCGTACTGAACCGAAAGCTCTGTATCGAACGGTTCAATATCGATACGAGTATCGTTGCACCCCTACTATGTATGTGTTAGATCGTCATAAGCTTACACAAGTTCAGACTCAGTGCCAGGTTAATTGTGCGCCTGTACTTCACACTATCTCAGCACACAGAAGGATTCAGCTGATGGACTCTGAGTATTTTAGCCAGAATGAGATGAAACCAAACTGTTTCTGGGTGTGTGTTTTTTTTTCTCTGCAGCTGGAAACCTCGTCTGTCTCCCCTCCTGGCCCTCTGCATCTTCTTGGTGTGTGAGCGGCACAGAGGAGAGGCCTCTGATTGGTTCCCTTACATCAATGTGCTGCCCACAGTTTACACCTGCCCCGCCTATTTCAGCGATGATGTCATGGCTCTTTTACCTGCCAGTGTGCGGAGGCGGGCCTTGGAGCAGAGGGAGGCAGTGAAGGAAATGCACTCCACCAATCAGGAGTTTTTCAGGTGAGTGCGGTTAAGGCCGGGATTTGTACTCGCTTGTGGATCAGCTCGTTTTCTAAACCTTGGCTGAATGCATCAGAATAAAAGTAATTGTTCAAATGATGTTTAGTCTTCTTGTGTGAAAAGTGAATGATCGCGCTGTGATTGGTTCACTGGTTCAGGTCCCTGCAGCCAGTTCTGAGTCAGCCCACAGCGGCTGTTTTGACCTATGAGGCGCTGAGGTACATGTTCCTTATCTTTGACCAAATGAACCATTTACATAACAGTATTAGTGAATGAGAATAGTATCTCTAACTAAGCTCCTCCTCCTTTCCCAGGTGGGCGTGGTGTAGTGTCAACACACGCACCGTCTTCATGAGCCATGCTTCAAGCAGCTTCCTGTCAGGACCTGATAATTATGCTTTAGCTCCCTTCCTGGATCTGCTCAACCATCGCCCTGATGTGCAGGTAAATGTGATGCTGCAAGAATACTGTAGCTGTTGAGTCGGAGCTGGTTGTACTGATTGAGAGTGTATGACTGCATTTCTTTTGCAGGTAAAAGCAGGTTTTAACGATGTGACAAGATGTTATGAAATCAGGAGCGTGTCTGGGACTCTGCGCTACCAGCAGGCCTTCATTAACTACGGTTCCCACGATAACCAGCAGCTGTTGTTGGAGTACGGATTTGTCACCACTGCCAATCCCCACAGTGTGGTCTATGTGGACACAGGTAAACCTCTGCAGTAGGTTTTATCAGGGGGAAGTTTTTGCCCTATCGTCGAATCAAATTTATATTTACATATATTGATCATGATATATTTATGACAGTGCTAATGAACTTTTATGAACACTCCCTGGACTTAAAATAGGTCATTACTTTACATGTTGGTAATCTGAAACAAGCTGTTTCCCTTCCTTCATTCTGATTGGCTACCTCTCACAAACAGCCATCATCCCCTCTCACTGCTACAAAGCAAACAGGGGAAAAAATAAATTTAAAACGAGTGTTTAAAGCAGTATTATGAAGCTTAAGCCTTTGCTTAGAGGGATTACTTGCACATACACCGACCTCATTATTTAAAACTTTGGAAACATGTTTATTATTTGCATCTGCCAGTGTAACATTAGATTTATAAGAGAAAATATGGAAAACTGTTTGGCTTAAAACTTGATGTTTGTGTGTTTCACTGTGGTCCCTCAGATCTGCTCTGTGATGTTTTAAGAGGCGACAGAAGTTTGACTCAGAAGATCAAGTTTCTCAGAGAGAACAGTTTCCTTCAGTAAGACTCGGTTTACATACTTAATGATTCAGCTGTAAACAGGACTAATACTTAACGGATACAACTGCAAAATGGAAAAATGCCTTCATATGTTTCCTGCCTTCCTGCCAGTAATCTCACTGTGTCCAGTGACGGCCCCAGTTGGAGGCTGATGACGGCTCTCAGGCTGTTGTCGTTGCCACAAACACTGTAGTAAGCCTAAACACACATTTATGCATGTACATCGATGTGTTTTGCTCCAAAATCTGGGCGTCCATGCACAATCTGGATCAGTTTCTCTGTCTGTGGAGTGTGCCTGAACATGTGTGTGTGTGTGTGTGTGTAATTTACAGCCACCAGTGGAAGGCAGTGTTGCTTGGCCAGCTGGTGTGTGAGGAGAGAGAGCAGTGGAGCGTCCGGATGGCTAAGAGTCTCTGTCAGCGACTACTGCAAGACACATGCAGCGCACTAGATAAGGTGTGTGCACATGTGCAAGAATTTAACTCTGTCCCTGTTTTGCAGCACATCACCTGATTCCTTTTTTCTCCTGCACTGTGTGTGTGTGTGTGTGTGTGTGTGTGTGTGTGTGTGTGTGTGTGTGTGTGTGTGTGTGTAGGTCTCACACCTCCTCCAACAATGTGAGCAGCCAATTAGGGAGCAGCTAAATGTGGTCAAGTCACTGCGGCAGGAAGAGAGGTGCATCCTGGGAAGCTGCCTCAAGGCACTGGAGGAATCACTCAGACATAATGACAGTCCACTCGGTGCTGTGAACTGACATCTGATTGGCCCTCTGATCTGACAGCTGCTGCAAGACGTCAAGTGATTGGCTGAAGCGTTTCCTGTGCTGTGTGTTGACTGAGAAAAGCAATAGGATGCTCTGTTACAGGCTCTCATCACCACCAGCTTAACTGCTCTAAGCAAAATACTACTACAGAAAGGATGCATCTCCAGTTTTAAATCCGCTATTTTATATATTTATTTTTGCTTTAATTAGTAGTTAGATTTTGTATTACACATTTTATGAAGCCACCAAATATCCCAGCTGCTGTTTATGTTGTAATTTACAGCTCAAAGGGACATATTTCAATTTTCAACTCCATCTTTTTAGTGTTGGAATCTACTAGAGCAGCTTTGAATGATTCAATATAATCCCTGTTTCTGTCATACTAGGACTTGGTCCTCAATTTGATGTTTTAAGTCTATTAAAACCCCTTTAAGCCAACTTTCTTCTGATTGGCTGCCCTTCACAAACAGATGGATCTGAAACGAACAAACAAAAGATCTGTTGCATAATAAACAAAAAAGCGGCCTTGTTTTTTAATGAAATATGATTTTATTGAGTCAGATGACACCTTGTGCATTTCTAAACAAACATTAGGTGATGAAGAGTGATCAGATTTTAATGGATATCACTGGCTCTGGGAAAAGAGTTTCTTCTGCAGTGTGAAGTAAAACTGTCCAGGTGACTCTGAAACTCAAGCAGGTAATGATTGAGCGCCTTTTTTCCTGTTATCATATTATTGGGCCTGAAACAGATCATAGTTCTGTGTTAACAAGTAAACAGTGACTGATTGGAACAGTGTCACTGCAGAGAGAAGTGATCCAGCTGAGCTGTTTTCTTTTATCTCTGCATAATGTGATTAGTTAGGTCAGAGCTGAACAACAGCCTTCGTCTTTGGGTGACGCTGGACAGTCTCCATGGCAACTGTGGCTTCATAGAGGGGGACTGCTTCCTCGGGCTGAGGCCTGCAGAGAGACACAAGGTGAATTTGATCAGAGACCCATTACAGTCTAATTTTAAAACAATCTGAATCCCCAAATCCATGAAATAACTACGGTCTGTACCAACATGTCATTTGTCTTTTAAACTAAAGGCTTATTAAATTAAACATTTACTTCTTAACCTTAAAAGAATGGTAGGCTATTAGCAATCGTTCCAGTCTTCTTCACCCAAAGCAGGTTTGACACCCCCGCACTAAACTGGAAACTAAACTTCTGCAAGTGCTGTTACAGCAGAAGTCTAATGTTAAAAATAATGAGATATTTCATCCAGATCCAGACAGATTAGGCAAATTCCAGAGCTGTCAAAAATAGAAGAAGTCTGCCTTGGACATGTGAAAGGGAAAGGCCTACCTTCTATATGTTAGAATTTATTTAATGTCTGCTTGTAAAGATTTAGCAATAAACAAATTAAATGCCTGGAGAAAAAAAAAAAGCATACAAGAAGACAGAGGTGAAACAAACTGTTTTTGTGCATTTAAATAGGCTTCATTCCAAACAAATACACCATTAAAGCTAATTCAATATCAGTGGCTAATGAGGACATATGTCCCCTGTGAAACTTCATCACACTTCTGGTAATGTTCCAAACATATGTACAAATTGTCTAAGCTGCTGGACTTGGGACTTCTGCATGTTTGTGGGAATCATATGTGAGCATCCTGGAAACTGGAAAGTTGACCTCGTGTTAAAATGTGGATTTTATCTAAGATAGTATGATCCCACTGAGAAATGTCATCCAGCACTCCTTAAACTAGATTTTGAGGTTACCTGAGTACTCCGCTTGACATCTTCTCCACGATATCCTTCAGAATATCTGCAAA